CCGCGCGGCCGGAAGCCCCGCCCCCGACGCCGCGGGCCGCCCGGCATCCTCTCCACGCTCCGGACGGGGTCCCGCGAGGGTCCCGCGCCGCCTGTCGTTTGGCGGTCCTAGGGCTGGGGGTACCCGCGGCGGGCCTGCGCAGAGCGAGCCACTGACCCCGGCCCCCCCGCGGCAGAACCGGTGATTTTCCCCACGTTGTTGCAAAGCCTGCAGCCTGGAAAGTTAGGAAAGGAAGCTGCAGTCTCCTCTCTGCCTCTGGAAGCTTCATCTAAAACGAGTCCAGCTACGGCACCCGCTTACGGAGTCCGGGAGCCCCGAGAACCTACGTTTCAGATGAACATTTCTTACTTCAAACTGCAACCTGAGCATTTCCGCTCTGGGATTTTGGTGTGATGGCACCCCTCCGGGCGGCATCGGCACACCCAAGACGGTAGGGAACAGCCGGGGACAGTGGTCCAGGCGCTGCTGCGAATCACAGCGGCTCCTCGCTTCTACACAAGCAATGTCCCTTTTACGCAAAAAACCGTAGGAGCACGCCAATCGCACACTTACACAGTCGTCGCCCAACACGGCAGGTTCAAGGCAGTAGCCCACAGGGCTTTTATCTGGGCCTTCTCAGTGAGCCGGATGTCCCCCTAAATGCTGCCTGCTGTAAAAACGGGGAAAACCCCACTATCAGTCCCAGTTTCAGGATTTTGTTACTCTCGATGATTAAAGAGCTGGTGCCCAGGGCGCCTGGGTGGCTCAGTTGGTTAAGCGACTGCCTTCGGCTCAGGTCATGATCCTGGAGTCCCGGGATCGAGGCCCATATCCGGCTCCTTGCTCACAGGGGGTCTGCTTCTCCCTCTGACCCTCCCCCCTCTCATGTGCTCTCTCTCTCTCTCAAATAAATAAATAAAATCTTTAAAAAAAAGAGCTGGTGCCCAAATGGAAAAACCCACTCTACTTAAACAGGATTTTTCTTTAGCAGAATCAAGCCACAGGATGGGGCAGCCTGCCTCCAGGGAGCAAATGCCACCGACCTCCCGAAAACCCATCCACTGGAAGGGAGGTGGTATTCCCCAAGCACCGCACAGGAAGTAAAGGCTCTTCGTTTTAACAGTTTTTATTTCAAGTCGCATATAAGATTACTTTACTCCTGCATCTTCTCAATTGTTTCTTCCTTATATTTGCCCTTTTCCTTTCCTACTTGGCGAGATTTGGCTTTAC